GTTTCCAGCACTCCTGGCCGTGTTTCCTCCCCCACCATCCATCTCCTGAGACGCCATGCCCTCCTGCTCCCGCAGAAACACCCGCCCTGAGGTAAAGCGCACACACACACACTCTTTGGTCCTTGTTATCAAACCACCTGGGAGTCAAAGAGCACCACGAAACCGCAAAAATCACAATTAGGAGAAAATAAATCAGTGAGGAAGTTCGGGAAAACTACCTTCAGCTTCATGGAAGGGGCTGGAAACGAGGCACGGATGAGCAAGGGCTAACACAGCCGGGCGAGACGCCGGCCGGCGAGCATTCCCGTTATTGCTTTTCCGTCTGGGTCACAGCAAAACTATCTCAAGGGAAGGAGGAATGAGGCTATCTCAAATTTCCCAGCAGAAGAGCAGGCAGACATTAGTCTGCTGAAGGCATCTGGGACAAGACCACTTTCTGGAATATTTGATGGCAACTCTTATCCCTGTAACCTGTAGGAAAGCTGGAGAGACCCTCCCTCCCTACAGCAGCATCTTCTGGCACATCAGCGCTGCACAAGGTTCTGCCATTTGAAAATTAATCCTACCGTTGGCTGAAGACCATCGATTTTACAGCTCTGCATTACTCCTGCTTTCCACCAGAACACTTTGATGATCTAAAATTTAAGCCGATCCCTGCTCCCAGGCAGCAACACCCATTCAAGAAACACAAAGGCACCGGGTTTTCCAGGGTGTCGGTGAATTTAAAGTCCAGTTTTACAGCTGTCGGGAGCTACTCTGGGGGCACGAGTCCTGGCGATAAATGCTCCAAGCGTTCCCTTTCCAGCACGCTCTGCAAACGCCACCACGGCCCGGGAAGGGAGCGTGTCAACAGCCCCTACCCCAGCTGAGCGATTACGGGACTTGCTCAAAGCTGACCCCAGAGGGAGCTGGTGACAGGGAAACCGGAATCAGCATCCTGCCTGCTGCGCCACCTTCTTAATTTGGGGGAAGATAAACAATCCTTTCCCAGAAGAGTAAGATTTAGGTCAGATGTAAGGTACCTTTCTGCCCTGGGAGCGCTCTGCTTTTTAAACAAGGCAGAGTCCGCAGGGATGCGGTGAGATAATACATTTAATCACCGCTACTACATAGTAATCAAGAAAGGGGAAGAACAAGTATGATCCCTCATTTGAGGGAAAATGAAACCCTGATCCTGGAGCAGGAAGCTCTGAGTGAGCAGAAGGAAGTAGCCCAAGCAGCATGAATTTACCTCCATCTCAAAAAAAAAAAAAAGGCTTTTCAACAACCCTGCCGGGCTAACGGGGATGGTGGGATGGAGAAATAAAACACCGAGCAGCCCCTTTCAACAATACACAGCGGAGCAGGAGGGAGGGAGGAGCAGCTTTTACTTTCCAAAGGGAAATTCAGTTATAATTCAGGAAATGGTACTTCAGCTCACTGGTGTCCCCCCAAAACCACACAATTCTCACTCGCTTTCTAGGTACTGCTTTGCCAGACAAGCTTCCCTCCGACAGACGAAATTGTCATTTATTTAGACAAGCTGGCTCCTACCTTTGTTCTTTCAACAGTAATCTTTTGTCTCTGTCTCAAAGAAAATGAGCTTTGCCCCGCGCTAGGGTGAGCATCACACACAAGCACAACTCCCACGGCACCAAAAGGGACGATGAGAGTTTGGGCGACGGGACCGGGCTGACGATACTAACCTGTGACACCCACAGAGATTTCACAGCTGATGGCTGGGAAGAGGAGAGATTTGTATAACAGAGACAGGACTTGGAGTCATTTGACAGTCCTATTTTAAGCTTGAGGATGATGAGCATTCAGATGTTTCTATTTAATAAACTCATCTTCCCTCCTGCACGCTTGGTCTCAGCAAGGTGGGATCAAGAAAGCTTTGTCCCTCCTATAGGACTCCTACACTTTTTACACCTACATTAAGGGCTCAGCAGTTTGGAACCTTGCTCTCAGCTCACTGTCGGGATGATTTTCCTGTACCCATAAGTGACTGAGCCATTTTGAGAGCAATTCTTTTGTCTGTGGACTCCAGGGAGGGGCCTGAAGCCAGGGTGACAATGAACTCTCAACTCAGTCGGACCCATAATTATAAAGCAGCCCTGGCACCCAAGGCACAAAGGACCAAACAACTGAAATCCCACATTAGCATTTTTTGGCAGATGCTACTTCAAAGCAAAAGCAGCAAAATAAGAAAATGTCTTTGGGTGCTTCCCCAGATTGTTAAATACATGTTGAGGCTGGGAGAGGAGGAACCGCTGCCTGCCTGGTCCAGGAAGGGCTTCATATCCATCCACATCCCCTTTATCTACACTGGATGATGCCAGTCAGAGCGTAACAGTCCCCTGCACCATGGGCCACTGGGGCCAACCGTCCCCCAAAAAGCCGTGGCAGGGCTTGAGGCGGTTTAAGGTTTATCATGGAGCGAAGCAAAACCTCATGTGTGAAACAACAACCAGGCTCCTTTTGTTCCCTGCCTCCCGCGGAGCTGCTCCTCTGGCACCTGAGCCCTTCCAGCACCCACCTCAGGATCGCTCTCCTCAGCTGACAGCTCCCCCCATCCCCAGCTCTACCTGCTCCTGCCAGAAGATGCGGAGGACCCAGGTCCTGCCCAGCGCCCAAACACCGCCCGGGGGCAGAGGGTGGCCACTCGGAGAGGCCTCGAGTCCCCCGGAGGTAGAGCTCGAGGGTTACAGCCTGAGCAGTCAGGGATCAGCCGAGGTCAATGTCACGCGGCAGAGCCTCTGTCACAACCAGAATTCAAATCCTGTGGGAAACCCGTGTTAGCCAACACCTCGCTAGCCGGAGAAGTGAACAATGGCAATTATTCCACCAGGAAGGGAGAAGAGATTTACTCACATACTTGCATATTTTCTCTTAAGTAACGCTCTCAAAACCCTTCAAGCTTTCTGAAGCCAATTCCTCCTCCTCAGGTCAGAAGACAGGCGAGCACAGAAGATCAAGATCTCAAAGGAAGGCCCGAAGCAACAGAGAAAGACCCAGAGGTCTTGCCCCCGGATGCTCAGCCCCGTGCTGAGGCACCACGGCTGTTGTGGCCAACAACAACCCAAGCGCTCTCTTCTTCCTCACAAAACTGGCTTTATCGGACCGACAGGTACGACTTCCTGCACGCCTGCTCACCCAGTGAGCAAAGGCAGAGCGGGTACGTTGGATGTCTGTCTGCAAAACTGCCCAAAGGACACAGCTACGAGGCCACAAAATCAAGCACACGCAGACATCCCCACTAGACGATGCTTCATTAATGCCGCAGCAAAAAATTAATTTCTTTTATGGTGGTGCTCAACCATCTGGCCCTAAATGCTTCTAGAAGCGGGGTAGCAGGCAGCAGGGCTTAAGGTACAAAACACCGACACTCCGAGAGCACCGAGGTTCAGCTGCAAGTCTGCCCGTGTTTCTTCTTTCCTTGCTGTGACTTGGGTGACCAGTGCTGTCACACTGACCGGGAAGCTTCAACATATTGCATTATAATAAATAAAAAGCCTGACCGCTCTCTACCAGAGAAGCTCCAAAAGGATGGCTGGATCTTGCTAAGTGCAAATTTAAAGACTTTGAGAAAGTCATTTTGGTTTCTAGCCACAAACTAGCCTGAAGAAGCTGGTTTGTGGCTTGTGGAAGGGGAACAGGGCTCTCTACTCCCCCAAGAACGTTGCCAGACCTGTGAGTCGCAGGTTTAAGAACCAGAAGTGCCCTGGTTCATCCCAGATGAGGTTTCCACCTCTTGCTACCACCCCGCTGCGGGGATGAGGACAGCGACCGGTTCCAACCCTGCGCATTTCTTGTTCAGCTCACATTTTAAACCAGCAAGGCAAGAGAAACCTTCAGCCGTCAGAGGACTTCAGGACCTTCCCCTTGACACTCACCAGCTCCAGTTCTAGTCATCAAACCAAATCTAACCAGAAGATGTTTACGTTCCCACAATATCTTGCCTCCCACGTGTGCCAAATGGCGTTGATGAGCTACCTTCGCCTTGCCCAACACCAGATGCAGCAGAGAAGTGGGTGCCTCCGCCGGGGAGATGCTATCCTCCCCCTTCGCCGGCACGGTCCTGACTAAAGGAAGGTATTTCAGGCCCCCCGCCCCTCTGCGCCCCAGCAGCCGAGTCCGGGGACCCGCTGCCACCCCCGAGGTGTGACCTGACTCATGGCTCAGGCTCTGGAAACACAAGGGATCGGAGTCAAACTCCCCCTGGCACCAGCCCCTCTGCTCCCCGACCCCATCGCAGCACCCCTTTAACACAACCCTGTCCTGCCTCCCCGAGCCCCTCTGCTCCCTCCAACTGCCCTTTTCTCGGGGGTTTCAAACCCCCTGGGCCCCCACTCGTGCCTGGAGGGTCCTCGCTACACACCCACAGCCCCCTCCCCAGGAAAAGCTCAGCCCTACACCCACCTCCCCCAGCGAAAGGTCAGCCCCTGCCCACCCCACGGAGCCCCGGCCCACCCCACAGAGCCAGCTGGGCTCTGTGAAGCCCACCCCACTCGGGGCTCGGCCCGTGACCCTCCGGAGAGCTCAGCCTCCTCAGCCCGTCCTCCGCGCCCCCCAGGCCCGCCTCCCTCCCCGGCTTCACCCCCTCGCACCAGCCGACCTCCCACGCTCGCCCCCGGCCCGGCCCACGAGCCCCTCCCCAGCCCACGGCCTCGCCCACCTCCTCACCCCACGCAGGGCCCGACCCAGGCCCCATCTCCCTTCCGCTCCACACCCAGCCCCCCGCACCCCACAGGCCTCCCACCCCCCCCCAGCTCCTGCCAGCCCCGCGCACCCCACGGCCCCACTGCCCTCCCCACACCCCTTACCCCTCACGAAGAGCCCGCCCCAGCCCCACACACCCCACGGCCCCACTGCCCCCCCCACACCCCTTACCATCCCTAAGGAGCCCCCCCCAGCCCCGCGCACCCCACGCCTCGCCCTCCAAGAGCCCTCCTCACCACTACACCCACACCCCCCCGCCGCACATCGCACACCCCCCGGCCCCGGGCGCGGCCCCGTACCCGCCAGGCCGCCGCTGCTCCCGCTGCTGCCCCCCGACTCGGGCCCCGCCGCCGCCATCTTGAAGCGCTCCCTCCTCCTGCGGCGGCCGCCGGCTCGCGCGCGGCGCCCGCGCCCCTCCCCGCGTGGCTCCGCCCCGCCCCGCCGGGCCCCGCCCCCCCGGACCGCACCATCCGGCCTCGGCCGGGGGGAGGAAAACCGGACACGCGGAACGCACGCGCAGTCCAAGCGTCTAGGCCCCCCCCCACCCCAACACACTTGGACTCGCCGTTGCGGACGCGACCACTCGGGACGGAGAGGGAAGGGTGGGGGGAACTTTCAGGGCATATGCGCGAGTCGGGCCAAGCGCAACCAAAACAAAGCCGTTGGGTCACGCGGCGACGCTATTTTCCCTATTCCTTCCCCAGGGCGTAGCCGTACTGTGGGGGGCTCAGGGGCGGGCGGATAGGCATGGGGGAGAGTGCTCCCATGACGCCACGTTCCGCTGGCGTCAGTGCGGTCCCGCTCCCGTGCGGCTGAGAGCCCCGCGGGGACGCACCCCCGGTTTGTGTGTCCCGCCCCCCCCCCCCGCTCCCTATGGAACCGCCCCCGCCCATGGGGACCGGCAGTGCCCCCCCCCCCCCGGCCCGCAAGGGGGCGCCCGCCGCCATCGGCCGCTCGGCGCTCGCTCTCCCCTGCCTGGCGGGGCCGAGGCGGGCCGGGCAGGCCGCGGAGCGGATCGCCGATGGCGGCGGCGCGATGAGCCTGGCGGAGGGTCGCGCCCCGCGGCGCACGGCCGGGAACCGGCTCTCGGGGCTGCTGGAGGCCGAGGAGGAGGATGAGTTCTACCAGACCACCTACGGCGGCTTCACCGAGGTCTCGGGGGCACCTGAAGCGGCCTGGACCAGGCTGGGGGGGGGGTCTCGGTGGCCCTAAGGGCGAGCGGGGTCCTGGTGCTGTGAGGGGATGGGGGCGGGGGAGGGTGTCTGGGGGTCTCCAGGGGGGTCCGTGGGGAGCCCCGGGGGGGGGTGTTTGGGGGTCCCCAGGGGGGTCCGTGGGGAGCCCCGGGGGGGGGTGTTTGGGGGTCCCCAGGGGGGTCCGTGGGGAGCCCCGGGGGGGGGGTGTTTGGGGGTCCCCAGGGGGGTCCGTGGGGAGCCCCGGGGGGGGGGTGTTTGGGGGTCCCCAGGGGGGTCCGTGGGGAGCCCCGGGGGGGGGTGTTTGGGGGTCCCCAGGGGGGTCCGTGGGGAGCCCCGGGGGGGGTGTTTGGGGGTCCCCAGGGGGGTCCGTGGGGAGCCCCGGGGAGGTGGGGGGAGCCCCAGGGGGTGGGGGAGCTCCAGGGTGGGTGTTTGGGGGTTCTCAGAGGGGGTCCATGGGGAATCCCAGGGAAGTGGGGGGGCTCTGTGGGGGGTGTTTAGGGGTTTCAAGGGGGTGGGGTGCCCCGGGGAGATGGGGATCACTGGGGAAGGTGCAGTGGGGGCTGGGGGTGTCCGGCCCTTGGAGGAGCCACCCCCTCCCGGCCCTGGTGATGAGGGTCCTGGGGGGTGTGGGAGGGTCCCGAGGGGCTGACCCAGCCCCTCTGTCCCCGCAGGAATCGGGCGATGATGAGTACCGGGGCGACCAGTCGGACAGCGACGATGAGGTGGACTCAGACTTCGACATCGACGAGGGCGAGGAGCCCGCCAGCGACCAGGACGAGAGCGAGCCCAAGCGCCGCCGCCGCGTCGTCACCAAGGCTTACCGGGTGCGGGCGGGGGGGCTCCGGGGTCAGGGAACGGGCTCCCTGTCAGGAAACGCCGAGGTTTAAACGAGGCCGAAGCTGGGGGGAGTTTGTCCCCCTCCTCACCTCCTCTGCCCCGTCCCGTAGGAGCCCCTCAAGAGCCTTCGCCCCAAGAAGACGGACGTCCCCGGCGGCAGCTCCCAGAAGCCGCGAGAGGTGAAATCCGTCCCCTTGGAGCTCCAGGATGACGTGGGAGACAGTGAGTGCACGTGGGCTGGGACGGGACGGGCTGAGCTGGCAGCAGGGTCCCCGCCGGCGGAGCTGAGCCCCGTCCGCCCCGCTGCAGGCAGGAAGCACATGCGGCAGTCGACGACGGAGCACACGCGCCAAACCTTCCTGCGCATTCAGGAGCGGCAGGTCCAGTCCAAGCGTAAGAAGGGCGGCCCCAACTACGACCGGCCGCTGACGCAGGAGGAGCTGCTGGAGGAGGCCAAGATCACGGAGGAGATCAACCTCCGCTCCCTGGGTGAGCCGGGTGCCGCGCCGAGGGGCGCCGGGACCCCCAAAACGGCGCGGGGACGGGGGGTGAGGGGGACAGTGAGGTGCTGAGCCTCCCCCCTCGCTTTGTCCCCGCGTTCCCAGAGAACTACGAGCGCCTGGAAGCCGACAAGAAGAAGCAGGTCCAGAAGAAGCGGAAGTGCGTGGGGCCCGTTATCCGGTACTGGTCTGTCACCATGCCCCTGGTCCCGGAGCCGGGCAAGGAGGAGAACGTGGACGTGGAGGGGTAGGTTGGGGTCACCTCGACGTGGCCCCGGTGGGTTTTTCCCTCACGCCCAACCCTGATCCCTCCCCAGGCTCTGCTCCCACACAGTGAGGGAAAAGCGGGTTTTGGGCAGCACCCTGGAGCCCCCCCCAGCTCCCCCTCTACTCCTGGGGGGTCAGCTTGAGATTTGGGGGCTCTGCCCACCCTGGGAACGCTGCCGGGGGTCTCCTGGGCACTGACTGTGGCTCTTCCAGGTTGGACCAAGACCCGCAGCAGGCGGAAGCAGCTCCGGCCCCGGCTCCGGCTTCCGCCGGGAAATGCTCCCGCACCTTCATCTCCTTCAGCGACGACGAAACCTTCGAGCGTTTCTTCCCCAAAGCGAAACCGCCGCGGCTGCCGGTACGCGAGATCTGCCCCGTCACTCACAAACCGGCCGTTTACCGCGACCCCATCACCGACATCCCCTACTCCAACATCCGCGCCTTCAAAATCATCCGCGAGGCCTACAAGAAATACATCACAGCCCACGGGCTGCCCAGCGCCGCCGCCTCGGCCGCCCTGGGGGCTGCCGCTCCCCCCGGCCCCGACCCCAACGTCCGTCCCACCCGCCAGAAGATCATCATCAAGCAGAGCGTCCCCACCACCTGAGCACGGGGGGGGGGGATCCCACTCCCGCGGGGAACGGTTCGTTGCTCTATTTATCTCCTTCCCACCTCTTTTTGTTTTTTTGTACAAAAAAATAAATAAATCCGAGTAACCTGCCTACAGCAAGGGTGCGGATTCTTAGTTCCACTCAATGCGCGGCGACAGCAGGAGACCCTACAGTAAACACAGGCTGCGTCCAACCCTTTTTTTTCCAAGAGACCCTGCAATAAACAAGCAGTTTGGCCACAGCGCTGCTGCTCCAAGTGAGGGTGGCCCCACGCAGACACCTGAATAGGATTCGGGGGGCTGCAGGGTGGGTGAGAGCCAAGTCACCCAGACGCTTTTGGGGAGAAGGGGCATAAAATGTCCCTCAGGGGGCCGGGGGGTCCAGAGGGCCCCGGGCACAAGGTTCAGGCTCTCTCCCCAACCAGGGCAGCCCATGGGGGAAGGGGGAGTCCCGAGGGGCCCCCCCACGGCCCTGGGGTGGGGCCAGCGTGGGGCTGGGGCCAGCGTGGGGCTGGCAGCGCTCGATAACGCCCGGGGATATGTGATCTCGCCCCTCCCCGCCGCCGGCTCGCAGAATAAAACGCTGATCTCATGCCCTGCGCGGCCGGAGCCCTTGGCTCAGCACCGGGGCTCGCACCCAGGCAGGCTCCGCCGCCCCAGCCGCTGGCCAGGTAATGGGGGGTTCCCGGGGGGGGGGTCCCCAGGGGGGCAGGGGCTGCATCGTCACCAGGGACACCGGCCCCCGGGTCCCTGGGTGCTGTCAGGGATCCCCTCTCGGAGGGATTCCCCCCCAGTTCTTGCCCCTGGGTGGCCGGTCCCTCCTGGGGCCTCAGGGTGTGTGGGGACCCAGGGGTTGGGGGGGCAAATCCCAACCTGGTTGCTTGGGGGGGGGGACCCGACCCTGGTGTTGGGGGACTCACATCCTCAGCATTCACCCCCAGGGAGCTGGGGAGGTGTCGAGCGACAAAGGGGTGCTGGAGGGGGGGGGGGGGCAGGGCTGCTGAACTGGGATCTGCCCTCCAAACAGTGCGGGGAGGGGGGGGACTGGGAGGGGGGACACACATGCTGGGTCCTGGCTCCGGAGAGCACCTTGGAGGTGTGACCCCCCGGCCCCCCCACCCTGGGGTGCCCTGTGGCCCCCCCAGCCCAGGGGGAACCCAACACCACCATGAAGGGGTCACCGTGATGGGGTGGGGGGGGTCCCCTTGCAGTACAGGGCATCCCCCCACCCTGGGGAGCCTCCTGCCAGCCGCTCAGCCCCCCCATCATCGTGTGTGTCCCCCCCCCCAGCCCCCCGCCATGACGTCCTACCGGCAGGAGCTGGAGAAGTACCGGGACATCGACGAGGACAAGATCCTGCGGGAGCTGTCGGCCGAGGAGCTGGAGCAGCTGGACGTGGAGCTGCTGGAGATGGACCCCGAGGTGGGTCCTGGGGTGGGTGGGGGGGGGCACGAGCGAAATGGGGTCCCCCGTGGGTGACATGGTGGGTCCCCCAGAACATGCTGCTGCCGGCGGGGCTGCGGCAGCGGGACCAGACGCGGAAGAGCCCGACGGGGCCGCTGGACCGCGAGGCCCTGCTGCAGCACCTGGAGAAGCAGGCGCTGGAGGCCGGCGAGCGCGATGACCTGGTGCCCTTCACCGGCGAGAAGAAAGGTGGGGGGACCTGGGGTGGGGGGGGGGGGACACACACGGGGGACACTGCGGGGACCATGGCGGGGGGCAGGGGGGATGGGGCCCCACGGCGCTGGGTATATTTAGCTCGGCAGAACGGTCCTCGCCAGCGGCTCGGGTGTCCCGGGCGAGCTGGGTCCCCGCCAGCCCCGGGCACGGCCACCCCCCTGGCAATGTCACCCCCCCAAATGGCCACCCCCTGTAATGTCACCCCCCCAGTACGGCCACCGCCGGCACTGCCATCCCGCTGTGATGCCGCCTCTAGCGCAGCCACCCCCGGCAGTGTGTGTGTGTGTGTGTCCCAGTATGGTCACACACCCCTCCCCGCACTGTCAC